TAGCGATGCACCTGTTACTACTAGCGATGCACCTGTTACTACTAGCGATGCACCTGTTACTACTAGCGATGCACCTGTTACTACTAGCGATGCACCTGTTACTACTAGCGATGCACCTGTTACTACTAGCTTGCAGCTTTTGTTTTGAACGCAAAAAGTTGCTTCGCAACATCACGACTCTGTCCGAGGAACTCCTCGGGGGTCCACAGCCAATCGAGAAAGGCCTCGAAGGGAGGAAAGGGAGGGCGAAGCTTCGTCACAAATGAACACATATAATGTCCATCATGATGACTTTGAACACGAAAAAACACAGAAGACAAGATATGAAACAAACCAAATAGATGCGCTGCTTTCATTTGCACGTAAGTGCACTGCAACGAAGTGCCCAAATCGACCTTCTGAGCGTCCAGCGGAAGCGCGAAGAGGAAAGAAGACCGTCGCCAGGAGTCGCATCCAGCAGACGTAGCCCGTCGCTCTCCATGGCGGATGCATCGGGTGTTTTGTCAAGACCTCTCTGAGAACGGTTTTGCACATGTTTTTGACAAAACAGGATTGAAGAACAGAGTTTCAAAAACAGGTTGAGGTTGCCTGGGATGCATATGTGTATATGTTGTATACAAAGTATATGATATGTGTATCTGTATATGCGTATAATGTAGCAACTTCGTTTTCATTATTTATTTTTGTCAAATGTGTTTGTTTTAAAATTATTTTAAAGCCCCTACTCAATTATGTAGGCGCCTACGGTCACTTAGTGTCTTGGGGGCGCTTCGAAGGCTTGGCGGCCACTTGCACTGATTGCTTTATTTGGATTCAGATGGCTTCCGGAATGGCTATGAGGAGATCGGACGCTATTAGGGGCTCCTGGCCTTACTACTAGGAACAAGAAGCTACTAAGAACAAAGGGCATCGCTACTAGGAGCAAGGACGCTACTAGGTTGGAGGCCATTGCTATTTGATGGCTTCCGGAAAAAGAGCATCGCTTCATAATGGTGATGTCTGCATGCCTCAATGCCAGGGCCTTAGCAAGCCTTCATGTCGTTTCTGTCTCACAAACATTTGCCCTTTTTCCAACTCCAAGTGAAACTTCGACTGATCCGCTCAACTACCTCACTATTCACAAGTAGAACCTTCCACCCTTTGCCATTGCCCTTCATCTTTCATTGTTCAATCGCTAAGTTGGTCTGGGAAGTCCCAGCCTCGGTGCATGCAGTGTTTGCACACATAACATAGAGAAGCACAAATAGGTGGGCGTGGGCCTCTGTTCACCTTCGTCTTTACTAGGAACAAGGACATCGACACTAGTAACCAAGGGTACGACTACTAGTAGCAAATAGCTACTCGCAACCAGGACGGTACTAGTCACAAAGGGCATCGCTACTAGGTGCAAGGACGCTACTAGTGGTTCTTTTGTCGTCATCTTGGCTTGGTGGCGCATACGACATGCGAACGGACATGCGACATGAACCTCTCGGATTCCATGCAATGCTGCGCATCATTTCACGTTCGCGGATGAACTGCTCCACTTGCATTCGTTGCATCTGCCTTGCTCCGACTTTGTGTCCGTGTTCCGGTCTCGTTCCCACAAGGACGCTACGTTTGGGGCTCCTGGCCTTACTACTAGGAACAAGTGCATCGCTACTAGGAACAAGTGCATCGCTTCTAGTAACAAGTGCCTTACTAGTAGTAACAATGCTTGCTACTAGGAACAAAGGGCATCGCTACTAGGGGCTCCTGGCATCGCTACGAACGGAACAAGAAAGCTACGAACGTAACAAGAAGGCTAGTCGGTTTCGCAAAAGCAAAGTGAAGAAACTGTAGCCCTAAGGTTTCAACGAGACTTGCTGAAGACCCACCAGCGCTGAAGCAATGCGGTTGCTGCCCGGCCTGCGCAATTGCCCTACGGAGCCATCAGACCTACTAGTAGTAACAATAAGCTACTAGGAACAAGTGCATCGCTACTAGGAGCAAAGGGCATCGTTACTAGGAGCAAAGGGCATCGTTAC